ACGCTATTTTTTCACGTGACTCCAATGTGATGCTGTTTGTGTTACAACAAGCGATATGATAATTAGCAATATCTTAATTAATAATAAAATAGAGCAAGAAAATAATTATAAAACGTACTGGATCCCAGAATGTATACTTAATGTTTGTCAAGCGTCTTGTTTCCTTCAGATCGCATCGGTTTTATCCAAACGCTGCATAAAACGTCACGGCCGTAGACGCAGGCGTAGTGTGGTAAGCTCCTGGAGAAACTTTCCATCACAAACATCATGCCTTGTAACTAGACGAATGGAGAGTAAAGGACAACATTGGGTAGGTGCAATAAAATAGGATTATAACTTGAAAAAAAAAGGTCTTAACTTAAAAAGAAATAAAAATTTGATCTACAACAAAAATTGGTGATAGCCTGACTATCAGGCTAGATGTTTTGTCGTGGATGTTTTTCCTAATAATAGACTCTTTGTGTCTTAATTTAACTTGGTTTTGTTTAAATCTAATATAAATCTGTCTATTGAGTCTCCTACTAGCCGTAAAGGGTCACTTAGCTTTGACAAAAGGTCCAGCGTCTACCTTCAAAGATCTCTGCCGATAGTTTGATGTCACTCAAAAGTTTTTATGTGGCAAAAAGGAGCGCCAAGGCTCACAATTGAGTTTTATTCGCTTTCTTGAGTGCACTGCCTATGTATTGTGCAATGGTAGCCACTGCTTAGCTGTTTCAACATGAAGCATTGCTGCATATTGAAAATGCAAATTTCAAATAGTCAACAACCTATGAAACAGTGCATCCAGGCATTTTCAAAAGGAACATTAAAAAAAAAACACTTTTTTTTATTTATTCAAATTATAACCCATGACGAAGGCTAATGGCCCTTGAAGACAGATCTTGCTACCTAAATGTATCATCGAACTTCTCGGTGCTAACTTCGAGAACAACCGGGCTATTCACCAGAACGACTAAATAGATTCATCCTGAATGAGCAAACGGATAAGGTATGAAACGAATTAGTGGCATTTTATACCATTTACGTTCGTTAAAAAGCGGGTTGCAGGACTTTAATAAGAGCCTGTACACTTTCTCCCATACTGGAGTGGCTCTCTACTGCTAGTAGGTCTAATCAAGTGGTTCCGACCGCTAAAAACATCGCCGATATTTAACACATGGCACTGTGAATATAGGTGCAGCGATATGATAGGTAAGTTCACCTATTTCTATGCTTGAATATTACTCGACACCGAACTGGTCAATTCAGGTATTTTCAAGGCCATAGAAACAGGCTCATCGGAGCTCGTTGCTCTCAACATCTCTGTATCATCGATAGAGCGAAGAGGTGAAAAATCTGCAGTAATCGCTGTTGAACTACCTATCTAAACTGTCGCGAGCCCGCCTGCCTTTGCTTTGACGTTGGCTTAAGCTTGTTCTCTGAATCCTTTGAAGCTGTTTACCCTACGAAGTTTATTACGTCCGGCCAAACCAGCCACGTATCGTATTGGCCGGGTGATGCTGCTTGACATGAGAATTTAATGAAGGGTGCTTTTGCCCGACCACAGAAACTTTATACGATGAAACAGAACTATTACATGCAGATAGCAGACGAAAAAAAGGGACGGAGTTCCCTGTTTCAACACGAACGTCAGGTAAACACCGTTAGAGGAAGAGCTGTACGTGCTTAATGAGATTTGTTCCCCTTATAAAGAAACTGTTTTCTATTCGCCATTGTCTAGATTAGATTTGCTAGCGATACCTAGGCTGGAATACAGCTGAGCCAGCACGTATATGTCCCCTTTTGAATAGACGCATAGACGGTCCAAGGTTTTCGAATGTGTATACGGACGCCTATCTTCAGGCCGCGTTTCACTATATGTGTCACACGCGTTGGAGTATTCGCATATTTTGTCGTATGGAACGATAAATCAGATAGAACGATGCATAGTGCGCGCACTTATTAGATGAACGCAAGAACGCGTACCTATATTTTGGTATTGTATAATCATCTATTGTTTATCGAAAAATTACCGCTACTATTTAGATTGGTAAAGTAAATGTATGGCTTTTTGTGTTTTGTTCCGTCAATATCTGTGTCTGCGCGTGGGTCTGTTTATCAGGCTGGGTATAGTGTTGGGCGTGATGCCAGAAGGAGTTAGCTAGGACCATCACAATTAGCATAATATGAATGATATTCGCTGACGTTGAGATGCGTGCTTAGGTTCAATGTGCGACTTTAAATGGCGATTGTCTATTAAATGGGATAGAAAAGGGGTTCGACGGGAAAAGGAAGTAGCGCACAGAGCACTAACGTTATAGTTGAATATGTTCACATGCTAATTTTTTTAAACTATTTTTTGAAATTATACTAGGAAAAAATTGCAATTACTAGTCGTTCGCAAGCAGTATTTCGAAACACAATCGTTCTGTCGTAGTCACTTAGATTAACCTAACTCCGAAGCGATGCCTAACCTAATTGAGGACCATAAAGGCAGTAAGGTTCGTTACAGCTTCAAAAACGTACCGCCGTTTTCGGAACAAAATGGCGTGAGTACACGCTCATTTTTTACTTTTGTTTTCCTCATGAGCATGAATTACTGGTGCTTGTGATAGATATCAAAGGAAGTGCGAATGCTTTGCCATCTACCATGACGCCGTAGACAGCGCCACTCTTGAATGCGTGTGAGGTCAAAAAACCCACTTGTAGACAACAATATAAGTCGACACTAACAATTGGCAGATGGAATTAAATGTTCACAAGTGATCATTTAATGGGCGAAGTTAAGACTGCGTGAAAAAACCATAGAAGTCCACATTGCCGTGAAGCCTTGATTATTGAAGTATAATACAATGTTAACGTTTGATAGGAGCCACATTTCCATGATGGTATATTGCAACGTGTTTGATATGGCTGCTAAGTTAAATGGCTAGTAAGGAAATCTAGGTTCGGAATGGAGCGTAAGTCGACGGCTCATCTTATGCTAGGAATCAACCGTCGAAGACAATGCTTAACAGCAACATCGCAACTAAAACAAGAAGCACTTCAGTTGGAAGTGACATGTAGACTAGGAATTTGATTAGCGATTAAGTAAAGGCTAGAAAAAATCCTTTGCGAAAACAGGCCTAAATTGCGGTTCAGCAAGATTTGTAGAGAGAATAGGGGAGCCAAAAACTGATGGCATGGTCACCAGTTTTCAGCTATAACTGAAGTAATGTTGAGGTATAGGGAAACAATCAAGCAGAAGAATGGGGACTTCTATGAGATCGAAGCAAAGCGGGACCGGAATTGGTTGCGTGATCAGGGCGCTAAAACCGCAAGTTGCATTTATTCAACATCTTCCGTAGCTTGTCCGTTTTGTGTAACGAATGTGTTTCTAACGCAGGAAAAAACATTTTGGACCCAACCCCACAAATGTCCTCGAGGATCTGCTAGCAAACGTGCCTTTTCCAACGTATTCCTTTTTTAATTTAGAAAATTGTTATTATAACGGTATATAACGGTAATTATAGTTTTATAATATTTAGGTCTGTTTTATTTAATTTACCGTTGATACCATTAAAACCTACGCGGCTCCGCACCAAACGGACGTCAACGATTAAAAACAGCTGTCCCAATTTTTGTTTGCTGTTTGTTTACTTTCTTTTTTTTTTTTTTTTTTTTTCTCTCACTTTAAGACTTTGATTGAAAAATATAATTATATTTTACAGAAACGGTAATCTTTGTCGTTCTCTATACGTTGAGAAATTCGGTGGAGATTCAAGTATACCTACTCTATTAGAAAAAGTACTTCCCATCATCGGCATATTTATTATTTCTATTTTTATTATTATTATTATTATTATTAATATTAGTATAATTATTAATATTATTATCATAATATTAAGTACGTCGATGTACACAAAATTGACACACCGAACATACAATACTCTCTCAATAAATTCATTCAGTTCCACTCAAATAGATTTTCCTGTTTTTCGTTTCCCACAAAAGCACTTTCGGGGAGGTTTTTCTCGTCATACGACAAGGCACAGAACATAAATACGATTTATTTTTTAATAAGATTAAGTGAAAAACACGAGAAAAAAAAAAAGCTGACAGTATAAACATATCGTAGAGAACTCAATGGCAAAGATCAAACAGGGCTGTTATCATATGCCGAGTTTCGAATGGTCACATCTTATTTTTGACGTGGTTGTGAGTCAATAATTTCCGCAAGTATAGTTTTTTTTCCCTCTCTCTCTCACGCCCGTAAAACCTGCAACTGCATAACTCTGCGTATGAAGCTGGTATTTTTTTTCCTTTTTCTTTTTTATAAATAAAATAAATACAAAAATACTATCTCTGTCCCTGTCCCTCTTTGCTTTGTCAGCAGCTTGAAGGGTATGAAATTCACAGTTTCACCCAGACACTCATACTCGACACCTGGGCAAGTTCTTTTCATTAAAACACTGTATTTTTCATTGATTTTGTTCTCTGTTGGTGTTTTCTTAAGCACTACAACATCATTTACGCGGCACCGTTCACATGAAACATACTGTTTGCGTTCTCGATCATGCGACGACAATGGTTCATTGTTGCCAATTTCGCACACAACGGCCGGGATGTCTTGACACAATTACGACATAATATCAAGCCACCTTTACATCATTCGCTCAGTCTCAGAAGATATATTAGAATAAACTTAAATATCATTCCGTTTTGTTTCTCTCTTCCCTTAGAATACATGTACCCACCTTATATATTCTCTCTATATATAAGTTGCTTTTTTCCTCAATATATATATATATAGTATAAAAAATTACTGTCATAATTATATAATATAGCAATTATTAGAATATATGTGTGTGTATGTATATATATATATATCCATACATAAAATAAATTAATGAGATCAGCGTGAAAATAATATATA